CTGGCCTGCAGCTGTTGAGGCTGCCTGGACAAGAAGGTTGGGCAGCAGTGGTGTGAAGGGCCCCCCACAGTGACTCAGGGCCACTGCCCCTTGGTAATGACACAGAGCAGAGAGCAGGAGGCTGGCCAGAGGCGCTTCACCCAGGGGTCACCCTGCCCAGCATAACCCCGGTTATGATCAGCACATGGCATGGCCCTCAGCCCACACAGCCCCTGCAGTCCAAGTTGAGCCTGGTCCCCTGGGCTCATCCGTGGGACCAGGGCACACAGGGCTTCCCAAGGATATGATGGCATGCTATTATCTACCTCCTGCTCCCCCTCACCCACCCCCCCTCCCGGCTGCCCCTGGCCAGCTTTCACAGCCCTCAGACATCTGCTAACACAACAGAGGCTGCCTGTTCTGGGGCCCCCTCGTGCGTGGGCAGCTGCACTCAATCAAACCTCTGTCTCAGCATCCCACACCCTCCCTGCAAAGGCCTTGCTTCTGTTTGAAGCGCTGTGGAAAACAGAATCTGTTGGTCTTTCAAGCTGACCAGCTTGAAATAAAAAAATACACAAGGCCTGTGACACCCAGGGGCAAGGCACTCCCGGTGATCTTGTTCACTGTCGCTTTCCCTGGGATCTCTGCTCACACCCATGTGATCCATGTCTACACAGCCATGCACAGCGCGAGCCCTGCTGGGTCGAGCTAGATCTCAAAAGAGCAGTAACTCACAACACCAGCACTGTCCTGCTGGTAGACAGCGCGTCCACATGGGTCGGTCCTGCCTCGATGGACACACCGTCAAGCTGCAAAAAAGGAGCCTTTACATCCTACACCGGTCCGAAGGGGCCTCCAGAGATGGCGTGGGGGTCGCCGGGACCCCCACGATCCTGTGCAGGATCGGAGCACAGACTCCCTGGCTGCCTTGGCAGCTTGTTCTGAGGGACCACGTGGCTGTAATCAGAGCAGCCATTTCTGAACTTGGCTCTTGCACCACTTCCCTCCATGGGAGCTTCTCCCCACCTCCAGCATCTCCAGATGGCCAGGTCACCTGCAGCCGCAGGTAGTGGCCCTGCTCACAATCCTGGCATCAGGGTTTTAAGAAAACAGAAGCAAAGACAATTGGAAGGCCATTTCCACAGCCCTGCCACTATATCTCATCCTCACTGCCCAAAGAGACAAGAACCATGGCTGCTGGCTACCTGGGCAGCTGTGCCCCAGGCATGTGGCTGGGAAGGGTGGGGCAGCTGGTGGGTGCCCAGAACATATCCACCCTCGTTTCAAGGGCAAGAGACCTGAAACTAGAAAGCTCTCATAGGGCCAACCTCTGACAGGGCCAAGTCCAACTCTGCCACCACTTTATAACCCTTGGCTCTGAACGCGGAGTTCACGGTAGGCTAAGCCGTGGTGCAGGGCAGGCTGACAGCCAGCCAGGCCTCCTATCTGTAAAAGAAGAAAGATGAGGCAAGAAGATGACAAACAAGGAGGAAATGGCAAAGACAGAAAAGGGAGAACAGGATGGAGAGGGAAAGGCGAGCAAACCAAGAGAACAGGAGTTCTTACAACACACTGGATGTGCCCCAGGCACGCACCCACCTGCAGCTCCGACTCTGCCTCCGGAGTCATCCATGGGAGCCCACAGCCTCCTCCAGTCCTACTGGGGTGACGAGCCCAGTGCTCTCAGGCAGCACTCTGCGTGCCTGCCAGGGTGCTGGGCAGTGAGTGTGCGTGCAGAGAGGCGGATGCACACACACACACAGATACACAAGCACACAGCTTAAGAGAGGCACACATACATACGCACATGCATGCAGCCGTACACACACAGATATACAAGCACACAGGTAGACGGATGCACACATACATACGCACATGTATATAACCACACACACACACACACACGCACACACACATAGGTTACTTCCTGTAGTCCTCCCACAATCCATGTTGCTGGTGGCAGTGCTGGTGTTGCTGCACTGAGATGCTTAACAATCTGCCCAGGGTTGCCCGTTCCCTACCTCTGCCTCTGAACACCTTCTGGCTTGCCAAGTTTCCCTTCCAGTGGATCCAAACTTTAACACCAGGTGGGCCCAAGGACCAACAGGGCCCCCTTTTCCTCAGGAGGGAGGTCACACTGCCGCTAGCACAGGGCACTTGGTCCTGCTGCCCCAAGGGCGAGGTAAACCAGGCAGGGCCTTGCCCTCAGCACTCCCTGCCCCACTGTCAGACTCTGGGCTCTCTCCCTGGCCTGCTTCCTGCCAGCTGCAGGCTGCAGGGGTTCTGCCTGCTCTGTCCCTCTGGGTCCCGGCTCCAGTCAGTACCTCCAGGGGGGCCGATCTCACCAGAACACCCCGCTGCTCCAAAGGTCTAACCATAAAGTCAATTTGCAATTTCACCTTTTATTTTTTAAGATTGACTTCTTTATTTGAAAGTCAGACTTGGAGAGAGAACACACAATACACAGAGAGAGAGAAAGAGAAAAAGAGAGATCCTCCATCCACTGGTTCACTCCCCAAGTAGCCGCAACGGCCAGGGCCGAGCCAGACCAAAGCCAGGAGCTTCATCTGGGTCTCCTATGAGGGTGGCAGGGACTTTTCCCAGGCCATTAGCAGGGAGCTGGATCAGAAGCAGAGCACCAGGGACACGAACCAGCATCCATATGGGATGCGGGAGTTTTACTGGCTATGCCCCAACCCTGCCCCCACTCTGCACTTTAATCTGAGGTCTCCTCCTCAGGTCCCAGGAGCCATGCGTAAAGGGTTCCTCTACCAGGTTGCTCCGTGGAGTCCCCTGTCCCAAAAGCAAATGTCTGAACCACAATCACAAGACCGGTGAAGGAGCCTACCACCCAGACTAAGGAAACGCGTGCCAGCATCAGCCTCTCGGTGCAAGCCTATCCCTCCACTCTGGACAGCCCATCCATCCACAAGCCCTTCTCCCATGGGCTTGCAGCCTGGCCCGCCTCCCAGTAATGCTGTCGGTCCCACCACAGCCACCCCCTGGCAACAAGCAAGTCTCTGCACACCAGCATCGTGCCTGGCTCCTCGGGCACGCAGCCCAGGCCACTGCACTACCCCAGGCGCGTCAAGGGCTCTACAGAGAAGCACGGGGGTTGCGTGGGCCAGGTTTCCAGGGCTCCCTGGAAGAGCAAGGCCCGTCTCCTGAGTCCATAAATCATTAGCTAGGGAAGCCAAGGCAGGCAGAGCCACAGACGCCCACAGAGAGAGGCCTGGCTGGGCTAGGATGCCTGGTGGGAGAGGGCACAGGGCACAGGTTTCCTCAGGCCTCTCTCTGCCTTCCCTGTGCTTTGTCCTCACCCAGGGCCTTGCCGCCAAGCACAGACAGGCTACACCAGGGCAGCCCCTCAGGCTCCAGAGTGGCTTCCAGGTCCTGGAGGCCTGCCCTGGAGCCCATGAAGCGATCCATACATCTGGGCGGAGCCCCACCGAGCACTGCATTTTTAAGCAGTTTCTATCCAAGTGAGGCCGGGAAATGTCTCCAGTGGTACCAGTGGTGTTATTCCAACTTGTGGCTAGTAAAATATAATAACACGTGTAAGTTGTTTTTATTACCCCTCTAGCTTATTAGCTAATAAAATAAGCTCGGCATTAAAATTTAACTGAAGCCGTTTATCGCACCCAGAATGCAGGGCTCTGGGCTTCCTTCAGAAGTCACCCCAATCTGTCCCATTCACACTTTTCTAGAAGAATGTTCCTCGTGGGGTCCTACAGATGTGTTCAATCTTTGTCCACTGGCAACGCCAGAAACGTCCACGATGCAAGGGGAAGAAAGGAACACCCCTGCGGCCAGAATGGAAGAAAGGAAAACTGGACAGGGGGCAGCAGGTCTGCCACACCCCTCAGGCTCCCCCCCAAGGGCCACCTACCAGCACAAGAGTGGCAGCGAGCATGTCACCAACGTGCTCCCCAGCTACCCCAGCTGTCACTCGCGATCTTGAGTCGCGACGGCCAAGTATGCTTTAGACTAGAGACTGAAGATACCGCAGCTCATGGCTGGGGAGAGAAAGCCAGCTCCATGAGCAGAACCACATCTTCTTTGAGAAAACCACTGGGCACTGAAGCAAGATGGCCGTGCTCACCCAAAATGGAACGGAAACAACATGCCTGCCTGCCCTGGGTCTGGCCACAGGCCTGCAGGAGCGAGGCTGACCCCAGGACAGAGAAACGGACGTTTACAAACACAGGACCAGAAAAGCTGGCGGTCAGACCACGGCTCTAACGGCAGAGGGCCCCTTGGATGCCACATTCTGCTCAGCACCGCCGCCTGCCCTAGAGTCGGTGGTCCCCAGGGCCTCCCGGTCAGGCTCCCAGTAAGGGCGGTGTGTTAACTCCAAGTTCATCTCATTCAAATCAGTTACCATAAGGCAGGGCTGTGAGACACAAAGGATAAAGCCCAAGGGATGGGGGCCATGGCAGGAGGTTTGGGCAGCACACAGCAAGGACACTGACAGAGGCAGCACAGGGCACAGCGATCACCATTTCTTGACGGCCGGTATTTCTGACAGTCTAACCAGAATGGAGTAAGCCTTTGCCCTGGCCCTCATTCTCCAAAGTCATCGCCCTGATCTCAAGATCAGCTCAACCCAAGAGACCCCGGAGCCTGGGGTGTGTGTCTCCTGCGGCGGCTGCAGGGCAGGTTCCCAGGAAGACAGGGCTCCAGCGCAGCTGGGAGGGGATTACCAGTGCTCAGTCACGTGGGCCTGCCCGCAATCCTGCCTCTCACCATCTGTCTGCTCTTGTACCAACAGCACTGCACCTCACAGGGAAAAAGCATGTCCGATTTTAAACAGAGAGAAACAGACACTTAAAAAGGGAAGAAAAAAAAAAAACTTGAAATAATCTTCCCGTGAATAGGATTTTCAAAACAAGGAAATTAACCCACTCTTGGACGGTGTTTTGAAACTGGCACTGGGCACGTGGCAGGGACAGGCCAGCAGCAGAGGCCCCGATGACCACCAAGCTGTTTCCAAAGGTCCCCGCAGGGGACCAGGCTCTTACCTGGGCCATCTTGGCGAGGTCTAGGGAAGGCCTCTGCTCCTGCACTTCTTCAGGGCGCCGCCGTTTAACACCGACCTTCTTGTCATTAAGGACACACGGCTGGGAGCGGCTGCGCGCCAGGCCGCTGGAGCGTCTGGCCAGCTCCGGCGTTGAGGCAGGTGTGCTGCTGGCTGAGGGTGGGCAGTACTCCGCAAAGCAAAACTGCTCGTGCGAGCAGGAGAGGGACCGCTGCAGGTCCAGCCGGCCCCCTCCCCCGGGGTGCAGGTCGGGGCTCCAGGCGTCACCAGCCTGCCCGCAGGGAGCCGAGCCTGCAGCCCCTTGGCAGGGCTGCCCCCCAGAGCGGTGGTGGAGTCCCGCCTGGTGGCAGGGAGAGGAGAGCCCGTTGGCCCGGGCAGGAAGGCTGAAGCTGGAGCTCCTCTGCATGGTGCCAACACCGCTCGAGTAGCGCTGGACGCTGCCCCCACTGTAGCATCGTCTCTTCTCCACAGGAGTCCAGACTTTGGACCCCAAGGGCCGCCATGACGTCCGGCAGCTGGACATCTCATCAGAGAAGGACAGTGACCGGCACTGGCGCTTGCTGGGGGGTGCTGAGGGGTTCCCGTTGTGGTCGCTGATGCTGAGGTCTTTGATCAGGCTGGTCACTGCCTCGGGGTGCCACAGCGAACCATCCTGACACTTTTCGGGCAGGCATTCCCAGATGCTGGTGCCTGGCTGGTCAATCTGAAGAGGGCATTTCCTGTCCAGGTCTCGCCACCTGTCATTTTCTGGTTCATAAATGACAAAGAGAAAGCAGGATTTGAGAAGGCTTTTACACCAGCCCCTTTTTCCACACCAACACTGGACCCTATAGCCAGAGAGGCCCTGAAGACCCCTCCAGTCCAACCTCACGGTGCACGGGAGAAATCGAGCCTCGGCAAGGGGGGTTCCAGCGCATTCAGCTCTCAGCAGAGAGGAGCCTGGGATCCTGGGCCACCTGGGGCTCCTGACACCTCTCGCCCCATGCACCACAGCGCCTCCCAGGGAAACCAGAAGCCAAAACGCACTCTCATCTCACACAGGGGCCCGGGTCAGGACCCAGGGAACTCTATCTGTGAAGCCCCAACTTGGCTCCCCGTCGCTCCAGGCAGGACTCCGTGCCCTGGCAGGAGACCACGACCAAGGACAACTCCTCCAGGACTTCACGGAGGTCACGGACTGCGTCCCGCCAGCTTGGCCCGTCCAGCTCCAGCCTTCATGCACTTGCGGACAACAGAAGCTGGATCTTTTATTGACTTTACGTCCCCTCCACCAAAACCCTCGCCAACAGCTGCCAATCACAGCACTTTCTCTGTGCTCACTTGATTTCTTGCTGAAACGGGTTATGTAGGGGAATATTTAAATATTTAAAATAATTAAAATCTCTACGAGCCAAGTGTCAGGTTGCAGAAACTCAAGGGCACAATATAAATCTACATATTCAGCTCTCCGTACTCAAATGCAAAAACGAATCAGCCAACCCTGCTCTGGCATGCCCAATCTGCACCTAAAGCTGTACTTCAACAACGTGAGCGATCAAGATCTGGTGCTTTCTACTACTGCGCTGGGAATTTCAGGGACTGCAAAGAGAAGTGTGACATGGTGTTTACGCAGCAAAGGCAACGTCAGAAAATACGCCACGCTACCAAGAGTCAACAAGTCGGCGCTCCCTGTTTCTTCTAATCTCTGTATCTGAGCATTTACAAACAGCAAGCGTGACAGAAGTGACACCGGAACGGCTACTCTACAGGCATCCAGAGGCACACGGAGTCCCCCGGCCGTGCGGATCACCACCGAGCAGCCCGAGCCGTGCAGCCCATGCAGGGAGGCTGGGAGACGGGCCCACAGCCACACAGTAACACAGGACAGGATGCAAATCCAGGCTGCTGTGACCTCTACTCAAGCTCTCCTTGCTAGACCCCAGTATTGAGGGACCACAGGTGAACCTGAAGTTGCCTGCAGGCCTCAAGGAATTTATACCTCAGGCAGGATGGGCTCTAGGTTCGAAAACTCATGACTCAGCCCACAGCAGCGCTCCGAGCAGGCAAGGCTACAACCTGTCTCCTCCACCGGTGTTCCCTTCTGGAAGGGCACTGAGCGGCACACCCTGGACTGAGCACTGCAAGCAGCAGCCACGGAACCGGTGCGGTCCAAAGGGACGTCAGAGAGCCTCCCGCTGAAGCCACGACTCCGAGTCTCAGGGGCAAAGGATGCAGGGAGAAACCACCCACAGGCCGGAACCACTGCAGACGTAGGGGAGAGGGTTTCCATGTACCCAGGCAGGCCAGCCGGCAACAAAGCAGAGCTGTGGCTCAATACCCACTTCCTTTCCTCCTGGGAACCCCCCAGGCCCTGGCACAGCAAGTCCTCATACCCGCCTCTCAGCTGGATGTGATAAACTACTTCCAAGCATCCCCAACGAGCACCTTTCTGAAAGCTTCCCTTACGTTGTTCAATTATGCCCACGGAAGGCCTCCCCTTGCAGCAGTCACCGTTCTTCCTGGACAGTTCCAATGTGGTATCAGCAGCTGAAAGTCAGCAAACTGAGCAATAAAGTAAAATAAAAGAGATACAAACTAATGTTGCCGGAGTAATGAGCATCTATGTTATCCATTCAGAAGATGGAAAGCTACCCTCAGGAAAAACGTGGGTATTTATGTAGGATGCTTAGCAAGACGATACCATGAGGGACGGCGAATCAGTAAACATCATTAAAACGTCCTGCGGTGGGGGGAACAGCACTGGGCCTGCAAAAGTGGAGTCTCGAGGACTGTGTGATGATGTGGGGAAATGCTAAGACAGGATGCTTAAGCACACAGTACAGCACAGTCCACGAGCTGTGAAGATGAAAAGGAATGACTCAAAATGTGAACAGCTGACTGGCAGGGAGCCAACTGATCTGCACATTCGCCTTCTTGTTTTTCCAGTCTCCACATTTTTTCATACTTTAGAAAAAAAATTGTTTTTGATAAGACAGCTACAGAAAGAGAGGGGGAGACAGAGAGAAAGAGAGATCTTCCATCTGCTGGTTCACATCCTAAATGGCTACAACAGCCAGGGCTGGGCCAGGTCAAAGCCAAGAGCCTGGAACTCCATCTGGTCTCCCACATGGGTGGCAGGGGCCCACGCACTTGGGCCATCTTCCACTGCTTTCCCAAATGCATTAGCAGGGAGCTGGATCAGAAGTGGAGCAGCCAGGACATGAACCAACAAACATGGGACACTGGCACCGCAGGCAGCAGCTTAGCCTGCTGCACCACAGCACCAGCCGCTCCAGATTTTCTATGAAGACAAACGTATTAGTTAATTCATGGAGGGTATGACCACCTAGCCCACCAGTGCAAAACTCTGGCTCAACTCTGAAAGTGGGCCGGGGCATAAACCCACCCTCAGCTCTGGGTTTGCATCTTTGAGTTTTCAGCAGCTATTGAGTAACACTGGCCACCAACTTCTCTTTTGGAACAAGCCACTGAGGTACCAGAGAGAAAATGCACACGGCAGACGAGAAAGGACCCCTGGGCCCAGCCACAGGGCAGCGAGGGCCCCAAGATGGTGGCACCACAGCTGGTGCTCCAAGAACCAGGGGCATGCTGCAGAGCGTGGCTCCACCAGGTCCCCAGAAACCCAGCCTCAGCGACGGTCGCCCGTGATCCACTTTGGTTTCACTGACAGAATTCTCCCTGCATCCAGGGGAAGCGGGGGAAGAATCGGGGGCCGGCTCGACATCAACCCACCATGTCTCCCCCTGGCAGTGCCCTTCCTGTCCCGGGGCCCGGCCGTGACCTCGGTGCTCCTCCACGGCACTTCCCAGGGCCTCCCTTCCCCACCCCCGCTCCTCACTGCCCCCAGAGGACTTTCTGAAGTCCCCACCCATCATGGTCCATCCCCTGGGCCATCACCCGTGGATACAAACATTCCAGCCTGGCCTCAGGCCCACCTGCTCACATTTCCCCCAGTAGACCCTACACTAAAGAACAAATCAACCGAGGGCATCAGAGGCCAGACAAGAATCACAGACTCAAAATCATCCTCCTTGAAAACCCCTGAGACGTCCATGAAGTGCAACCTTCCTCATTTTCTGCAGACAAACCTGAAGAGGAGTTCTCATGTGCCAGCAATTCTTTATGAAACTAACATTTAACACAAGGTCGCAGGTGTGCGCATAGGTAAAATCTACAGAGAGCTGGGGCCAAATCCCTATGGGGTACCAGGGTTGGATGGTGAATTCTGACACACCCGTGTCAGCTGGTTAGGCCTACTCCATTTTGTTCTACATTTTTAATTGTTTATTTTCATTTTTTTTTATTTGAAAGGCAGAGAAGAGATTTGAACCAGGCACCCTGATATGGGAGGTGGGCATCCCAAGCAGCAGTTAACCACTGTACCAAATGCCCAGCCCCTCACACACCGTTCTGTTTTGAAGAGCAAGCTCCTGTGACCTTACCGTGTAAGATTTCTTTGTTGCAGAACAGTCAGTTCTCAACCCAGCACACTGGTTCAACGGGAGCGCAGTGCACCTGCAACAGAACTGCAGCCCCCCCAGACACCCACGTCTGCACATCTCTGCAAGGGACTGGCACGTTCTCCTCCCACCCTCATCCTCCTTCCACCAGGAAGAGCTTTTCCTGCACACCTAACAGCCAGCTCAGCTCTTCTCCACGCGGTCCCTGTGCACCCACGGCACACGGGGCAACAGAGCCTTCCGGACCTGCTTGCAGACAGGCCTCTGCTGCACCCCAAGTTCTGAGCACAGCCTCAGCACAGCTCCCCAGGGACCAGCGTGAACTGTGCCACACAGCAGGCCGGGGCGGGCAGAAGAGAAGGTGACAAAATGCAGACCAAAGTGACAGAGGAGCTGTGCTATTCACTCAGCCTGGGTCACCTTCTGTCCTGGGTGACGCAAGTCCAGCCTGGGCTGGGCCTTGAGCTCTTGGCCCACCCAGGCCCTGGATGGCTGGCTGCCTGTGAGGATCTGAGACACTGAATATGCAAAGTGGACCAAGGCCAGCCAGGTGGCCACTTGTTCTCTCCGGGGCTGATAATGTTTTAATTGTTTCTATCTTTAGATAGAAACATCTCAAGAAGTACAACATATGAAAAGCAAAAACAATCCGGGCTATGTTTAGCCCTTGTTTTTTTTCCCTTCACTAGGGGAACAGAAGGCAATTTGCTGGGTCAGGTCACCAGACAAAAGAAACAGGAATAGAAGCTAATTTTTAATGGCAAGGTGCCCAAGCACGTCACACTGTACAAAGGGCCCAGCAGGGCTCGGAGAAGAGGACCCTGGGTGCCCCCACCCCCCATTCAACATCGCTTCTGCACAAACAACTATAACTCTTTCTGAGGTGACAATGGCCAGAGACACGGGGACTCCACTGAGCAATGGTCACTTGGTGCTGTGGAAAGGGTGTGGCCCTGCGTTCAAACCTCAATTCTTTAAGTAACTTAGTCTCCCAGTGCTATTGTGAGAGTTAAATGTGGGCCCAGCGCAGGCCCTAGATCAGGCCCTCAGCAGAGGCCACCATCGCTATGATAACAGGACCGGAGACTCTTCCTGGCTCTTCGGCCACCAGGTTCGTATCTCTGGGGTCTCAGGCACAAGCGCGGGCCCCCATTCTCTGCACTAGGGCTTCTCCAAGTGTGCTCTCCACGTGAGCTCTGGAAGCAGCCTGCTTATCAAGTGTGGGTTCTCGAGCCGTGTCCCTCACTTAGGTGAACTCTCTGAGGGCAGGACTCTGCGTTCTAACCA